CCTGCGTGTGCTCAGTGTATCGATCGGCTGCCAGGTTTGTGCTGGAAGAACACCCGCCCTGGGGGAAGCAGAGCAGAAAGGGAGTGGTGCTTTGGAAAAAAAAAAACAAAACAACATTTATTAAAAGGTTTCTTACCTGCCATTCACTCCCAAGTTTGATTCTGACTGTTGCATAACAGTTTTAATCCCTGGCTAAGTAAATACACAGCCACTTAAGGAGGGGGAAAAAAAAACCCAATAACTTTTTGCATGATGAATAATAAAGTCTTTTGAATGATGCATAAACAGTTTTCTGGTTCTGCCAGAGCCCTCTGCCAATTAGTCAGAGTGCAGCTGATGAATCATGAGACACATTCTGTGAAATGTTCAAAAATTTGGACCCTGCTAAGTGTTCCTGAAAGCCAGTGAGACCCCCCACAGCTGCTGAAACAGTGGTTGCCAGTCAGTTGAGTTTCTGAGAGATAAATTTGTGATGGAGTACTTTTTGGTGAATTTTAGTTTTTATTTGGGGTAAATTCACATTACCATTTATAATCTCAAATTAGATTGTTATAGTCCTTGCCTTTATATGAAATACACAGGGAGGTTGACTTTTGATAGCTTTGTGAATAAAATGACTTTCTGCTCTCTAATGAGGTGGCTTGAGGTAAATGGCACTTACAGTTCTTCTTCCATAGTAATCTGAAGATCTTTAGTCTTTTCTTAATGTTTCTTTTTTGAAATACAAGATTAGAATATATTTTTTTAATTAGAGTTTAGATTCTGGGTCACAGGAAACAACAACTAGGATCAAGCAGTGGCTTGCTGCACTGCTACTGGCAGCCTAATGCAGCCTTAAATTCAATGTATGAAATGGCTGCATTTCAAAGTAGCATGATCTGACTCATTGCTGGTAACCTCTAGACAGTGATTGAAAATAGTGGATATTTTTTTAATAACAAGGTAAAAGGAAAATCTGGCATTGGAGCAACCTGGTCTAGTGGAAGGTGTCCCTGCTGATGGCAGCGGGGTTGGAACTGGATGAGCTTTAAGGTCCCTTCCAACCCAAACCAGTCTTGGATTCTGTGATTTATCAGTTACTAGAGTTTATTTAGAAGGTGTTGATTTTGTTTAGTTGTGTAGCAAAGAGAATTAAATTTTGGTCCTCAGATCAAGAGGGCAGGCATTTAACACACACTAACATGTAAGTAAAACATGGCCTAGAGCAGTAACCTTGAAATATGCAGGCACAATGCTAGTAAACTCTGTTTTCCTAATAACTGTTCTAAACAATTAGTAAATTGTAAACAGTATGGGATACATCCTACCATTGTCAGTGAAAATGCTTAAAAAGCTGTTATCCAGACCTAACCATGGAGTCCTCAGTAGTGCAGAACCAGTTACTGCATTCCGTAAGCAGCACTAGTAACTGCTGATAAAACCAAATATTCCTTGGTATCTCCTCTCATTTCTTCCAGGATGTTTTCCCACAGGGTGCCCAGATGCAGAGGTTTAGGTTGTTGTCAGCAAGAGCTCTGTACACCTGGACTGTGACCCCTCTAGTTACACCTTTTTGTAAAAAACAAGGCTGCTTTATACTTTATTTCTGAGATCAATAACTTGTGTTTTTACCACCCTAGCACCAATGTAGTTATTTTCCAAGTGCTCTAAGAACTGTGCAGTAGATGATGTCTGTCATTGCGTTATACATTGTTTTTTTAAATCTGTTTTTCATAATCCACCTCCAGTGGTAATTTACTTTTCAGCCCTTTATGTTCTCCTGCAAACATGGGAAACAACTAGAATGTTGGTTTATTCTGTTTGAATACGAATCCTCTGAGTGACATCCATCATTGGTTTAGGACATGTTGGCATCCCTGTGTCTCCTGGGTCATTCTCTGTTTTTGTAAGATCACATTTATAACTTTTCTTACTCTAGAAACATTTGATTATGGAATTATTTTAATCAACCCCTTTTATTAATCTCTTCTTCCAGTTAATATTAATATTTTGGTTAATTTTGGAGATACAAATTAGAACCTTAAAAAA